GGAAAGAGCAGAAAGACAAAGAGGATGAAGTTGATAGGCAAGAGGAAGGGGGAAGGAAGGGAAAAAAGAGGGAGAGAGGAAAGAAGAAAGGATGGAACTAGAAAGGAAAGAAGGGAAGGAGGGAGGAAAGGGGAAGACAGGGAAAGCAGTGAAAGCAGTGCTCAGTTTGATTTTGAGGATACAAGTGAAGATGAGGAAGAGGTTTTTGGTTTTCCAAAAAGCAGTGATTCTGATTAAGTTTTTTTGCTCAAAGAGGTGTTTTTTCATTTCATATTTGCCTTTTAAGAGGAGTTAATGTTATAATTCATGTTCTAATGTTATAAATTTTAATCCAACATTAAGTTCCGAGCTTCCAAGTCATTTATTTTTAATGAAAAAAATTTTTACTCAAATTTTTGTGCAAAAATGGGGAATGCGTGTTATACGCCGGTGCGTGTTATACGCCGATAAATACGGTAACTTGATATGAAGCATAGGTGATGACTGTGGAAGGGATGCCCGAAAGTTCTTTGTAACCAATTGACATACTTTCTACAATTTGTAATGGAAGATGATTTTAAGGTGTTTGTTTGTGTTTATTCAAAAAATTAAAATTTTATTTAAAAAAAGCACGGTAAAATGGTATATAAGTCTAAGTGCTATTGCTATATATTCAAAAAGAACTTTTTTTTTGCCCAATTCAATTGGGAATGCAGCCATATAGCCCATTGTTGTTGTTAGTTGTGAAGTCATGTTTAACCCATTGCGACCCCATGGACAACATTCCTCCAGGCCTTCCTATCCTCTACCATCCTCTTGAGTCCATTTAAGCTCAGGTCTACTGTTTCAGTGACTCCATCCAGCCACCTCATTCTCTGTTGTATCCTTCTTCTTTTGCCCTCAATCTTTCCCAGCATTAGGTTATTCTCCAGTGAGTCCTTCCTTCTCATTAGGTGGCCAAAATATTTGAATGTATCCCGTATCACCAGTTATATCTACACAAGAAGTTGAGTACTTCAAAGTCTAGAACAGTTTTTCTCAACTTTGGTCACCTTAAGATATTGGCCTTTTAACTCCCAGAATTAAGTGTGTTAACGTTCACACTTATTAAAGTGAGTAGGGTTGAGAAACACTGTGGTAGAACATTCACACAACATACCAAGCCTGCTTAGTTTTAATTTTACTTTTATTCTTCCTAACTCTGTGGGCTGGTCATCTTAATTGATGAATTGGGGCACTTGTTCACCCAGAAAATGGGTTAGAAAAGTCACTTCCACTGGGTTCAATGAGATTTATTTCCCAGCAAGGATGTTTGTCATGACAACACCACTTTGGATTCAATCCCAGAAAAAAGCTATTTGTACTTTATGTGTCTCTCTTCCAGAAGCTAAAAAGGGTGCACATAATTTTTTCCTTTATATTTTATACTGCACACTTATAACCTTGGGCGCACCAAGGAACTGCCCCATAAACAGCTGGGAACTTGATCTCAGTTCTCCCCAATCCAAGAGCAATAGTATAACAGAGGTCTCAAATGCCACTAAGCCACCATTTATTTCACCACTTTGTTCTATATTAGGGCAGAAACTTGGTGGATATGTTCAAACTAAACCACCAAACATGGCTAAAAAAGCACAAATCAGTTCACACCTTTTGATCCAAGACAAAGGCAAACACATTAGGCACTAGTTTCTGTCGCCAAAGAGACTTTCTTCCTGCAGAGGTGTGGGAGTTGCCCGGTCGTTATTTTACCTGTCACTTTTGCGCAGCGACTTTCCTACTCGCTTCCACCTGGAAGAGGAGGAGGCAGTGTAGAAAGGGGTCAGAGAGCCTCCCTTCCTCTTCCATCTACGGGACGAGATCGGGGGGTCGGGCGAGGGGCCCCTTCTTCCCTGGCTCCCCCCCCCCTTCGCAAAGAGAGATCGAGAGCGCTTTCCCCGGGGGCTCCGATGCTAGGTAACTACTCCGAAGCCCTTCCGCGTTCCTGGAGCCCCAGGGCGTGTCCCCAGATCCACCCTGCCTGCGCCTTGTCCGCGCAAGACAAAAGTCCACGCAGGGCAGACCCAGAGGCCGATCGCTGTTAACGAGCAAAGGACAAGACAACCAATCTACCTGCTGTCGATCCTAGGATCTTCCTGCGCCTCCTCTCTCCGAGCTCGAGTTAGCCGAAGTGGTTTTCCTGCAGGAAAGGGGCAGACCCAAGCCCTCTTTTTTATAGATTGCCATTCGTCGGGTTCCACGCCTGTCCGGAGTCTGGCACCGCCTCCTCATCGTTGGATGGGGAAGTTTTTTCTTGCCCGCGGGGTGGGGTGAGGAAGGGAACTGGACTGGAGCGGCGAGCTGGGCTGCTGGTAAGGAAAGCGAGGGGGGTTGATTCGGTTCCTTGAAGGGCGTGATCTGGCCTGCCCGATGCCCGCCCAGCCGTCTGTGTTTTTCCTGGCTCCAGAGCTGGCCTGCTCCTGGGCCCGTTTGCAAGCCTTGCGTTGGCCCGAACTGGGAAGGCTGGCAGGATCTTGCCATGTTCTCAGAGAAGAGCACCGGGAGAAAGACGTGACAGCGGAAATCAGAAGGGCTGAAGCAGAAGAAGCATTTGGAAAGGAAAAGGCAACCGAGGGAGCAAATGTAGCCTTGGGTGATAAGAGGACGAGGAGCGAGCCCTGCTGGGCAGGTGTAGTTCAGAACGTCCCCCCCCCCCCCCCCAAGGGCAAAGGAAGGTCGTGAGAAAAGGGAGGAACCATCGAGGTAGACATCCATGGAGATTCTCAGTCATCCAGGTCGTGGTTGTCCCAAAGGTGCTTTTTTTCCCCACCCAAGACGCAACGGGACTTTCTGGTTTTTCTTTGAAGGCGTTTCGCTTCTCATCCAAGAAGCTTCTTCAAGCTCTGACTGGATCCAGTCAAAGCTGAAGAAGCTTCTTGGGCGAGAAGCGAAAAGTCAGTGAGGAAACCAGATTCCTTTAACAACCTTGTTTACTAATTTAACAACTGCAGCGGCTTGCTTAACAAATGAAGCAAGAAAAGTGTAAAAATGAGGCGAAACTCAACTCCATGTCTCACTTAGCAACATAAATGTTGAGCTCGATTGCGATTGTTAAGTTGAGGACTACTAGTATACTGTACAGTAATTCACCTCCATAGGAATCCTTTAGGCTTTGCTGGCTGAGGAACTCTGGGAGTTGAAGTCCACAAGTCTTAAAGTTGCCAAGGTTGGAGACAACTGGACTAGAGGACTGCATTAATATCTGCCTGGCATGTCCAGTAAGCCTACTGCAAAATTTGCTAGGGTTAGGGTCTTTGGGGATCCTTCGTCGTCCCCCCACCCCCACAAAGTAAACATACATTCTCTGGGGACACTAAAGCAATGCAAGAAAGCATACGTGGCTTGTGGCTTATGCTTTTTGTGCCCTATCTTTTAAAGAAAGACTGTGGGACTGACACAAAAGTGGAATCCTAGATTCCTGCCTATCAGGCATCCTGACCCAAAGACCTTAAAATAAATAATTAAAACTTAACTAAACTAAAAAAAAAAAGTGGGGGGAATTGGAAAGTTGCAAAACTTTTATTTATTTACAAGATTGCCTATAGGCTTTACTAGGATGATAGCATCTCTCTGATAACTTTTTAAAAACTATAAATGTCTGGCATGAGAGTCACCCTCGTCATAAATTCATGATATGCCCCCATCCTTTTTTGTCCTTTCTCTCCGACATCAAAATGCAGACAATGTAGAAACTGGAAAGCAAAGATTTAGGACCGTTTCATTTCATGCATTACTTCTGGGAATAAAGGCATAGCTGAGCATAGAATTGATTTGTGGGGTTTAATGAAGGGATAATGTGTATCTGTATAGGAGCCAGGAGAAGCAGAAGTAAGGGACAATGAGAATTTAGTTGCAGTTAATGGCTGATAAAATAGGTAACGAAGTTTGAAGAGTCATTAAACTGAGGACAAAAGATTTTGTAGCCACATCTGATTTTTTTTTGCTGTTCTTTAAAGTATTACAAGATACTTTTGTTTATCCGTTGGAAATGTTAATAATTGTTGGTTATAAACGATGCGTTTCCGGCTTTGGGGGGTTTGGGGGAGGCCGTTTTTGCCCTCCCTAGGCTTCAGGGAAGCCTCAGGAGCCTGGTGGGCTGCATGCTAATGTGCAGGGGAGGCGGGAAGATTGAGTGGGCACGTGTGCGTGTGCAATAACACGCACACAATTTTGGCACGCCGTAAGAAAAAGGTTCCCAGTCACTGCCATAAACCAAAGCTAAGCAAACCATGATTTTGAGTGATAGTCTGAATCCAGGCTCTATTTAGAATGCAGTAAAAAGGGTAAAAAGCTTCAGAAGAAAGCAACATTTTCTTTGCAGAATACCACCCATAAAAATAATTAATAAATAAGGCATGGTTACACTGCCATCATGTGGAAAGTAACATGACGAGGGGCCAGGGTGAAATGAACAGGCCTATAGATTTCCCCTGAGCCTGCATTTATTTCCTTGTCTGGGAGAACACTGAGTTCATGTTGACCATTGAAATGTGACTGAATATTGCCAATTAATGCCTCCAAATGTTATTTCCTATTCATTTTGATGTTTACCAAAAGTTCTGTTATGACGTTTTGACGCTGGCTGTTCTCACAGGTAAAACTTAAATACATATCAGCTAAAGCATTCATGTGAAAAAACAGTTTTGCATAGTGGTTAAGGCTTCAGGCTAGAAACAGGAAAGTCATAAGTTCTAGTCCCGCCTTAGGCACAAAGCCAGCTGAGTGGCCTTGGGCTGATCAGTTTCTCTCAGCCCTAGGAAACAGGTATGGACAAACCACTTCTGAAATCTTATGAAGAAAACTGCAGGGACTTGTCCACTGTCCAGGCAATCACCAGAGGTCAATACTAACGGGACACCACATATCTGCAGAAAAGTATAAGTCTAGAATTTGCAGAAGTTGTTTTCTTTTCTTAGACCAGTGATTGCTCACCTTTTGGTTGTCGTGAGCCAAACGTGTGCCGCACCCATAATGCAATATGCATGAGACACCCCTTTGCGCCCTGCGCATGCACACACAACCCCTGCACTCCCCCACCTTCCCTCGCCCCATTTTGGGCCTAGTAGGCCTCCCTGCAGCCTCCTGGGAGCAAAAATGGGCTGCGGGGGGAATGCCACACTGCCACACTCCCTCCTGCCCCCCACATTCGTGCATGATCCCCCTACCCCTCCCTGCATGTGCATCTCCCTCATGTACCCCAAAATAAGCCCCAAAATTAGCTGGTTGGTGGGAGGTGTGTATGCATGCGCAATCGAGCTAAGCTGCGGTGATGGCTCACGTGCCCACAGAGAGGGCTCTGAGTGCCATCTGTGGCACATGTGCCATAGGTTCTCCATCACAGTCTTAGACCTTGAAAATATGCCCAGTACAGTATAAGCAGGTGGGATTCAAATAATTTAACAACCAGTTCTCTGCCCTAATGACTAGCTGGATGGGCAAGGCTTGTTGGTCATGTGACCGAGTGGGCGTGGCCAACTCAACGTCACTCAGGTCGATGGGCACTTCGTCCTAGCTGTGACAATGTAATAAGGGTTAACCAGAGAGGCAGTTTCTGTAAGCAGGGCAATAAAGATTAGGCTAGAAACAGCACCAGAATGTTTCCTTCCTGCCTTCCTTACAGGATTAATCCTGTAAAGTGGAAAAAAATAAAATGAGATTTCTTCCAACAATCGGTTCTACAAACTGAAAGTTAACAACCGGTTCTCCCGAATAGGTGTGAACTGGCTGAATCCCACCACTGAAGCAGAGATATGTTATGCAAGAGACATCTAATTTGCTCTTTGTGATATTTTTTCTGGTTGTTTAAAATGTTTAACTACATTAGCTATTGGATTTATAAAATGATGACCTCTTCTTTCAGACCCTATTGCAGGTAATTTAGACTGTTTTCTGAGATGTTATTCACGAGCGGAGAGATTCTGAGGAAGGGAAGCCATCGGCAGCTTGGTATTTCTGCTATTTTCCCCAAGACAAAGAGGATTTCTCAGTTTGGTGGGAAAGTCCCTGGGATTGTGAAGATTTGTGCCAAATATGTACATCCACAAATACACACTCAAGCTCATATTTTGTCCCAATATTCATACACTGAGAATGACCAGGAAACTGCGGGTGAGGATGGGCCCTCACCCACCCACCCTGCCCCAGCTCTATGCCATCCTATTTAGACACATATTTAGGCTTTTGAGACTGGGCACATACGTGGAACATGTGCATGCGAGCAAAGCGCATGCATGGAAGACCATGCACATATGCAGACATGCGGGGCGCATGTGTGCAGCAAACTGGTGGTAACAAAATGTGAAACCCACCACTGCACATTAACATGACCATTTTGTGGCAAATTTGGAGCAGATGAGGGGGTCCACTAAGGGAACGGGCTTGGGGATGGTTATAGAGCCCTAGAGATGCAGGGCTCCTCTTGTATCCATCTGTTAATTCTGGCAAACAGTTAGACATCCTATTTTTCTTTAACCTGTTTAGAAAGTAGTATTAGCATTGATGCTATTCCAGCTAGAAACCTCAGAAATATTCAAGTAACATCTTAAGATTCAACATGTGCCCAGCAAGGTAGATTATTGTAACTATAACCAAAATAATTAGTTCTCATACAATATATATATTTAATTTCTTTGTTGCTGTGTGTAATGTCCCAAAGCTATAGGATGTAGCTATAGGATGTATATCCTGTAAAGTGGAAAAAAATAAAATGAGATTTCTTCCACCAACCAGTTCTACAAACTGAAAGTTAACAACCGGTTCTCCCGAATAGGGAGAAGCTATAGGATGTACCAAGGTGGCGCAGTGGTTAAATGCAGCACTGCAGGCTACTGCTAGATCAGCAGTTCAGCGGTTCAAATCTCACCGGCTCAGGGTTGACTC